CTTAGTACTTATAAATTTATTGCATAACATAGCAAAATGATGACTCAACCATTCTCTTGCCCCAACTCCTGCCGGATCTGAGAAAGGGCGAGAGAAAAGCTAGCAGAGTTGGAAAGAATTTGCAGCCAGCAGAGTAAAGGGTGTCTGGTAAGGAGACAACTAATTATATGAAATCATTTGATAGACACACTGAGTAGTTTTTAAAAACTTATAATAGTTTTCTTTTTATTGATAAAAGTATATAAATATTGGGCTAAGATACTAAAGTTTCTTTCTAACTCAGGGGTAGACATCAAATGTTGCCATTATCTATCTATTCTGAGATCCGTAAAGCTTGGGCCATATTTATCTTGGTTTCTGGTGATTCAGTTTGTCAAGGGTTTCAAACTCGTTTTCATTTTAAAAAGATTCTATTTATTTTTAGAGAGAGGGGAAGTGAAGGAGAAAGGGAGAGATACATCAGTGTGTGGTTGCCTCTCGTGCACCCCTTCCTGGGGACCTGGCTAGCAACCCAGGCATGTGCCCTGACTGGGAATTGAACTGATGGCCCTTTGGTTCACCGGCCATGCTCAATCCACTGAGCTAAACCAGCCAGGGCTGTACTAATTTTCAGAAGGCTAATGAATCTGTCATCAGTCCAGGATGAGTTTTTTTCTTTCTTCTTTTCAATTAATATAAATTGAATAAAGTGATTTAAGGTAACTATTAAAAAATTATTTCAAAAAGATTACTCTGAAATTAAGCTAGTGATTTTTTCCTGTTTTAACTTGTCAAGAAAATAATAATTTACCAAGATAATAAGCACATTCTCCACTTAATTCTGCACTGAAGTATATTGTGACTTATTTAGGATATTTGCATCTTGTCCAAATCATGGCATTATTCAACATTAAATAAAAGTTGTAAACTTGAAGCCCTGGCTGAGTAGCTCAGTTGGTTAGAGCATCGTCCATGGTTGCGGGTTTAATCCTCAGTCACGGCACATACAAGACTCAACCAATGAAGGCACAAATAAGTGGAACAACAAACTGATATGTGTTTCTCTCTCTCTAAAAATCAATAAGTAAAAGCTGGGAACTTGCTATGAAGCAATCAAAGGTTAAAGACACAAGTTATAAGTAACCGCATTCTCAAAGAATCTAACAATAGAGACTCCTCTTTTAATCCATTTTATGTGCCACTGTGTAGAGTTATAAACATACCAAATATAAATGAGGTATAAACTAGGTGTGTGTGTTAAACACGACATCAGTTTCTATTGTATAAAATTAGAAGTTATAACTTCTGATGTTTCCAAGCTCAAACTGTTTGCATGAGAAAGGTCAAAAGAATCAACACTTGTGACTTTCAGTTAATTTCATAAAGACTTTTAAGTTGATGCACACAATAGTTGGTGCTTTTGGGGGACAAAAAAATCATGATTTTTTTAGACTAATAGATTTTCAGTTTTAGCAGAATTTTGTTATAGTTGCCAATAAGTAAGCAATTGTTAGAAAAAAAAGGTGTGAAAAAAATCAAGCCTGTTCCCAACCCCCCATTACCTTCTTCCAAACCCTCAATACTAATTAGTTATGTCTACATCAGAATCGATTTTAGAGTCCATCCTAGGTGACAAGGACAAGGCTACAAGTCATTCTCTCCGAACTGTAAGGCAGACTCACAGCAAAGCAACTTATTTCTGTATTCCAAGGAAGAGGCTTGTCCTTGAGTCATCCAGTGTGGTTATGGCCTGATCGATGTCTAGGAGCTGGATGACCTTGGGCCCATCCAAAAAAGGCTGAAAACAGACCAAGGAAAGACAGAGAAAGCCTCTGGAGACCGCTAGGTGATGAGGAGCTGCATGAGTCGGTTTGGCCAATGTCAGAAAATGGCCATTGTTAGCTCAGTTTATGTTCCCATCATTACAGGCCTGGAGGGTCTCTTTCCTTTGGCCACATATTAGGCAAAAGGTCCCAGAAAAAAACTAGCAAAATAACAATTTTGTTTCACTACGCTGTGCCTGGGGAAAGACTATTCCTTCAGTCCTCCAGTGCCTGGTGCCCACACCTCATAAAAACATGCCTTTGGAGCCTTTATGCACACAAATCACGTAACACCAAATAGGAGCTCAGTATCAAATTTTCTTTTCCTTTCTCTTTCCCATAGTCAAATCACTGATGAAAACATGCTCTTCTTTTCTTCTAGTGTTTTTATTTTCATAAGTACCAAATCCTGGAACCAAGTGAGACAGACAAGAGGGAGGAATTTTAGGCAGCACCTTTATAGACGGTGTACTTGTCACTTGTGCTTGTCTTTCGGGTCAGTGAAAACTTTACCAGCACTGCGTGAGGCCAGACACTCTACAAAGTGCCCTGCCTCGGGTATGTCATTTATCCCAACTCCCCTGAAAGGTGGTGTCTTAGTCTATTTGGACTGCTACAGTGAAAATGCCATAGACTGGGTGGCTTCAATAGCGAACCCTTGTTTCTCACTGTTCTGGAGGCTGGGAAGTCCAAGATCAAGGTACCAGGAGATGCGATGTCTGGTGAGGGCCACTTCCTGGCTCACAGACTGCCACCTTCTCTCTGTGTCCTCACATGATGGGAAGCGTGCGAGAGCTCTCTGAGGCATTCCTTTAAGGGGCTCTAATCCCATTCGTGAGGGCTCTACTCTCATGACCTAAGTATCTCCCCAAAGCCCTGCCTTCCAATAATATCCCATCAGGATTTAGATTTCAACATATAAGTTTGGAGAGGACACATTCAGTCTATAGTATCTTCAACCAACATCATCTTCACTTGAGAGGCTAAGGCAGTGGGGAGAACTGCAGTGCTGAGAACTCTCCTAAGATCACACAGCGGGCAAGTAAGGGAGCCAGGGCACCTGCTCCTGGGCCAGGACCTTGAGCCAGTGCCATGTCCAGGGTGGGCCCTCAATGTGAGTGAAAGGACTACACCAGCTGATCAGTATCAACATATTCACTCTTTCAGGGACCTTGAGGCTGATTATGGATCCCCCACATAAGGCTGGTATGGTAGGCAGAATAGTGACCCCCCAAAAAATGTTTATGCCCTAATATCTGGAACTTATGAATATGTACCTTTACATAGCAAAAGGGAATTTGCAGATGTGACCAAGTCTCATGTGATTTGGGGTGTACCATTTCCCGGATTATCTTGGTGGGTCCAGTTGAATCACAGAGGCTGTGAAAATGGAAGTGGAAGGCAGATGGGTCAGAGAGATGAGACAGAAGAAAAAGGAGGAGAAATTGCGAGTATGAGAAGGATTCAGCCGCTGCTGGCTGGCTTTGAAGATGAGGAAGGAAATGGAGACTTCAGTTCCACAAGTACCAGGATTCCACAAGTACCTCGATTCTGCCAACAACCAAAACGGAGCAAAAGAAAAAAGCAACCAACACCACACATTCTTTTTACCTGAGCCTCCTGAAAGGAATACAGCCCTGCTGAAGTCCCCTTGATGTTATAGCCCAGGGAGACCTGTCAGGCATTGGCATGCAGATGGAGCAACTGTAAGATAAATTTGTGTCATTTTAAGCCACCAGGTTGATGGTACTTTGTTGCAGCAGCATTAGGAAACCGATACAACTGGTCAGTTCCTCTATTCGAGTTAACTAAATTCCTCTGATGCCTAGTCACAAAGGGAAGGGCACAAAATTGTCTTGCTGTGATTCCTTTTTTCATGGAAAAGAAGCAAAAATGCATGTTGTCCTGCAGGCTAGCCTGAACACAGAGAAATAATCTAAGAGTGACGTATGTTCTCCTTGTCTCCTGTGCAGGTGCCATTAAAGAAATGAAAGGGTGAAGTGAAGGGCACTTTTTTAAAGATTTAATTTATTTATTTTTAGAGAGAGGTGAAGGGAGGAGAAAGAGAAAAGAGAGAAGCATCAATGTGGGAGAAACACTGACCAGGGCTGCTTTTTATGCACATTCTGTAGGGGACCCAACCCACAACCCAGGCTTGTGCCCCATGAGGGAATCGAACCAGGGACTCTTCAACTTTGCAGGATGAGGCCCAAACAAGTGAGCCACACTGGTCAGGGCCATGAGCAGTAATTTCCTAAGATTCAACTTCCTGTTTGATAAATGGAGACAATAATGAAATGCTTTGCCCGTATTTTCAGTAAAAAACATTAAGAATAAGACAAATGAGGCAAACAAATTAATGCAAGTGTATTCAGAAAGGACAGGATGATTTTCACATTTTCTTTCTTTTAATACTACTTCTTAAATGATATTCAGCCTCTGCATTTTCCTTCTGTTGTCTGGCAAGCCTGCTTCAAGTTTTGTTTACTTTGCCTTTTTTATTTCGAGGTCATGTTGTCATCAGCCTCCTCCAGCAGAAGCAGGGGTGGGGGGGTGGCGGGGAGTATTAACTGGGCTGTGTCCCCAGGGGCTGAGGGCCTCCTGATTGAGAAGGCTGGCTGCCTCACCTGTGCCAGGCTCCAATAAAGCCAGGGTCTTCTCCAAGTGCAGGAGATGGGGGGGGCGGGCGGGAGGTATCTATCTACCTAACATATGTGAGAGTTAGAAATAAAGGGTGTTAATGACTCCAAGTAGTTGAGAAATTATCTTAACCTAAAGAAAGAGCTCATGGAGAACTAAAGTCACCTGATTGCAGGTCTCTGGCAGAAATTTCTTCTCTAGCTCAGGAAGGGTACTATAGTAACAGCATTTGCATCATCTCAGATTGGTTCGACTTCCTTCTCAGGAATTGCCAAAGTCAACCTGCTTCAGGCCAGCCTTCCTGATGGCCGCCCAGACAGAGACTGGTCTACCTGGTTCCCAGGTCTAGCAGTGTCTGGCCCATAAATAGGAGTGAGTGAATAGTCTGACACCTAAGGCAGAGTTCTTAGCTTCTGCATATTTTTCTGACCTATGAAAGAGTCAAAGCTTTGTAGTGATGGCCGGATGAGCAGAGGGTTCCACAGTCCCCAAACTGATCGCAAGTTGCTAAAGGCAATTACGTAATATTCCCCAATTTTAGCATGTAATGGTCTCCATTTTAGTGTGTAGCTGTGTTTTCCTTCTTAAGTTATTTAACAAACACATTTTTTAAAACTAGGCATTCTTCCAATAACGTTACAAATAGCTAATTCAATCATCACGACAACCCTGTGAAATAGGTACTACTGTTGCCCCTGTTTTACAGTAGAGAAGCAGGGGCTCAGGAAGCTGAAGTAACTTGCCTGAAGTCACATAGCTGAACGGAGCTGCTCGGATTCCACCCACACGGGCTGGCCCCAGAGACCCTTCCACACTCCACGCTCTGCTACGCTGCTTCCTCTTGCCGGTGTTAGGTGGAACGATGGAAGAAGGAAAAAACTTAGGACCTCAGGAGAAAACTGAGGAAAGAAGAATATTTATACGCTATATACCCAAATGAATAGTATGTTCCAGGTGTGTCATGAAAACTTAATATTGTACAAATGTTGCGATAAACTTTAGGCTAATTTGAATACCTAACTTAAAAGGATTCTCCTTCTTTACACCTGAAACTAATACAATATAAACTTAATGGAAACTGTAATGGAAAAATAAAGTTAAAAAATATGAAACTAAAAGGATTTTGCTCTTTGGCTTAAAAAAATAAATAAAACCTCAATAAAGTTATAAACACTTTCAACTACAAAAACATAGGTATAGTAAATAAATGAAACCATCAAATTGTAAATCATTTGAAGTAATCAAAAACATGACCCTGACTTCCAGATAAGTGAATAATTACTGTACTCACTTAGTAGGAAATTGAACAAACTCACATCTGGTTACAAAGTTCAAAATTCAGTTATTCTGGTAGGCAGCTACAACAGTTTTCTAGGGCTGCTATAACAAAGTACCACAGACTGGGTAGCTTTAATAACAGAAATTTATTGTCTCACCGTCTGGGAGGCCAGAAGTCCAAGATCAGCATGTCGCAGGGTTGTCTTCATCTGAGGGCTGTGAGGGACGAATTTGTTCCAGGCCTGTCCCCTTGGCCTGTAGACGGCCAGCTTCTACCTGTGTGTCTTCATATCAACGTCCCTCCATGTGTGTCTGTCTCGGTGTCCAATTTCCTCTTTTATAAAAGGAGATGGCATTGCATTATAGTCCATCCTAACGATCTCATTTTAACTTGATTTCCTCAGTAAAGACCCCATCTCCAAAGAGTGGCAGTCTGACATACCGGGGGTTAGGACTCCAATGCCATTCCTGTGGCAGGGCAGTGGAGGGCGACACAGTTCGACCCACATCAGCAGGATAATACAGGGTGTAAGGACCCAGGTCTAAACTCTAGCTCTGACATTTAGTAAGTCTGAGGCCTTGTTGCCTTACCTCCTTCTCTTAAATGGGGATGAAACAGATAGGACCTGCCTTATGTGGTTGTGAGGATTAAATGAATCAGAGCATGTAACACTTAGAATATTGGGTAGGATAATACATATTAGACATTCACTCATTGAAGAAATGGTCCCCGAACACCTGTTATGTCTGGTCACTGTTTTAGGTGTTAGAGATACAGAAGTAAACAAAATAGGTCACAGTTCCTACCTTCATGGGGCTCATCATTAAATAGTGGGGAAAGAAAAAACAACTTAAAAAGTAGCATATGTAGAATGTCAGACAGTAATAAGTGCTATGGAAGAACATAAAGATGGGGCTAGAGAGTGCTGCAATTAGGGATCAGAAAGGGCCTCACAGCGGTGTCATTCGCACAAAGGCCTGAAGAACTGGAGGAAACAGTTAAGTGGTTGTCTGGAGTTCTTGAGATATGAGGTTTCCCGACCTCAGTACTATGACACTTGGGGCTGGATAATTCTTTGTTGTGTGGGGCTGTCCTGTGCATTGTAGGATGTTTAACGGCATCTCAGGCCACTACCCACTAGATGCTAGTAGCGGGTACCATCTATATCCCAGCCGTGACCATCTTTCTGACATCCACAGATGTCTCCAGACATTGCCACAAGTCCTGTGGCAGAGCAGGAGGTGGGGGAGCAAAATCATTCCCGGTGGCGAAGCAGTGAGGTAGAAATAAAGTGAAAGAGGGGAGGGTGACCAAGCAGGGACAGCAGGAGAGCTCAGCTTGTTTGAGGCACAGCAGGGAGGCAAGCAGTAGGACAAGGAATGAACCACATCATCTCTGATCTTGAGACCACTCTTCAGGCAGATGGAAAGCCACTGGAGGGTTAAGGGCAAAAAGATAACACAACTGGACCTACATTTTTAAAACACACAACTGGCTGCCACAACGAGAATGACTGTAGGTAGAAAGACAGAAATCGACAGCCCAGTAGGCAGGCTGTCACAATAATGCCGTTCATATTTTAGTTGGTTTAACTTGTTCACTTATTCGGCTGGATCGTGGTGGGAGTGCTGAGGAACTTGAGCTAAGAAGATCAGGGAAGAAAAGAGGAAGGTGAATTAGCATAAAAGAAAAAAATGTAGGAGTGGGCAGGATGTTTTGCAGAAGTGGCAGTATGATGATTAAGTCAATTTGTAGGAGCAGAGGGGCTGTGTAGGACAAATGGAGAATGTGGGGGGGCCACTTTGTGCAGAGCCAGTGAAGGCTAAGCTAAGGAATCAGAGCTTTAGGTCTAGGGCCATACCACCCTGAACGCCCCCCCCCCCCCATCTCGTCTGATCTCGGAAGCTAAGTAGGGCCTCGTTAGTACTTGGATGGGAGGAATCTGAGCTTTAGTCTGCAGTTAATAAGGAGCCTTCAGCAATGAGGAAAAATTAATACTTTCAAAAAGCCCCCCCCCCGAAATAATCTGGGCGAGAGATAACAAGAGCCTCGATTTGGGGGAAAAGCTTGAGCAAGACATTCTTAAGTAGGCAAGGTAAGGTCCTGCCCTAAGGATTGCAATTGCCTTCTTCAGGGTACTTTTGTTTGTAGGCAAGTCCTGACGGGTTTGGAAATGTTTCCACAATATTAAGCATCAAGCAAATGCAGGTCCACCGTGAAAAGGTTTAAGTAGTGCAGTACTTTCTTGGGAAAGATGTACCCAGAGGAGAGTGCATTAGGTTTCTTCAAGGGTCTTTTCAAAAACACTAGTAAACATAGGTGAGAAAAAACTATGGCAGCGAAAAGAAAAAGCAGGTTCGCAATCAGAGTTCTTTCAAGATGGTCGTCCATTTCCATTTTTAGATGTAAAATGTCTCAGCAGGTTTCGCTCGCCAGTTTAAGTACATCAAATCAGTCCCACCACACTGCACGTGGGGCCTTAAGAGTTCCTGCCTCCTTCTTCTCCACCTGCTTTTTGCATTATTCGATTCGCAAAAGGAGCTTACGCGAGCCCTTTTTACCCTCAAAGGATAATAAGCCTGTTAACAGACGCAGTGGACCTTCCACCCACCCGCAGGGAGCCCCTGCAGTTCGGGCCGCCTCGCAGCGGCCGCCGCCCAGGGTGTGGCCCAGGCTTCGGAGCCCGGCGAGGGGGAGGAAGCGGAGGGCGGCGCGGTCTCGGCGGGGCGGGCGGGGCTGGCGGGGACCCCGCGGGAGGGAGGCAGGACGCGAGCGGCCCCGCCCATTGCCGTCGCTCCTGCTCCGCCCGTCACCCTGCTCCGCAGCTACTCTCACTAGGAGCAGCCCCAGGCGGTGGCACTAAGGTCCCCGCCATGTCTGTGGCCATGAGAGAGAGGTTTGACCAGTTCCTGCACGAGAAGAACCGCTTGACCGACCTCTTGGCCAAGCTCGAGGCCAAGACCGGCGTGAACCGGAGCTACATCGCGCTCGGTGGGTGCGGGGCTGCGGCCCGCCAGGGGCGGAGGCTGCTGGCCGGGTCTTGGGGCAGCTGCTGCACCAGCTGCTGGGGAAGCTTCCAGGGAGAGGGTTCGCGGAAGGCGATGTGGGTGACAGATGGGGGCCGTCGGCATCCTCGGGGACCGAACTGGCTGCCGAAAAGGCCAGGGGCCGGAGATCACTCCTCCCAGGGCGGCCCCGGCTTGGGGGGGTCGCTGGCTTGTGCCCGCAGCCTGGTGGCGGAGCAGGAAAGGGCCGGCGCTGACGTGTCTGTCCCGGCGGCGGTGCGCGGTGTCCCTGAGACGAGCTCAGGGTTGGCGCGCAGTGGCGGGGGAGGGGGAGCCTGGCGGGAGGGCGCGCGGGCGGGGTGGCGGTGGGAGCCAGTCTTAGACCCTCCGTGGAGCTGCGCGCCCTGAAGGGCTCCTGCAGGACGGAGGGCGGGAGGAAGGACACAGAGGTGGGGGCTGCCCGTTATTCCCAGACCCCGGGCAAAGCCCGGCCAAGGGCTCCACCTTCCCTGCTTGGTTTGTTCTCCAACGCCTTGTCTGGCCAAGCTTTGCGGTGTGGGTGTGGTTGGGGGGGCTGTGCGTTTGAGTACCTCTGGTGCCACTCGACCTACTTCTCTCCTCATGTCTCCAGGTGTCATCGGCGCGGTGGCCTTGTACCTGGTGTTCGGTTGTGGAGCCCCTCTCCTTTGCAACCTGATAGGATTTGGCTACCCAGCCTACATCTCGTAAGTGGCTCCCCCTGCAACCATCTTCCTCCCTTTCACTCCCCTTCCCCCATCCAGGGCTGCCCTAGTTACTGTACGCCCAGTTTCCCTGAGAGAGCAGTCTAAGCATCCCAGGGTAGTAACTGACTGCTTAAGGGGCAGGGGTGTCCAACCTTTTGGTGTCTGGGCCACACGGGAAGAAGAGTTGTCTTGAGCTACATGTGCAATACATTTTGACATGTAATCACAAGAAAATCTCGCAATGTTTTAAGTAAATTTACGATTTTGTGTTGGAGTGCATTCATAGCCATGCTGAGCCGCATGTGGCCTTCGGGCCGCAGGTTGGACACCCCTGGTAGAGCTTTAACTTGATGCTTGATCTCTTGATGACTGCTGAAACGTATATTTCATCAGCTTCTACTGACGGGACGTGTACCTTTTAATGGATGCACAAATTGGAAGTGTTATGCAAAGTCGTTCTACCTTTACTGGTGAGGAGCTCTCATCCAGTCCAGAGAGCTGATTCCTTCTCCCTAATAATTACTTAAATGTGTATTTCACCATATAACCATGTACATGGGATAGTAAAACCTCATCAGTTGGGACTTCCTTAATTCTGAATCAGTGTTAATTCAGACACTGGGGAGAATTTTGTCTTGCTTTTCAAAAGGCTTGCCAGAAGAACCCCACATGATTTCCCTCATATATGGGATATGAAATAGAAAGCATCAAACAGACAAACCCAATCAACTCATAGACATGGACAGCGGTGTGGTGGTTACCAGAGAAGGAGTTGGGGGAAGATGAAGCAGGTAGAGGGGGTCAAATACACGGTGAGGGAGGGAGACTAGACTTTGGGTGGTGAGCACACAAGGCAGAATACAGATGAATAGAATTGTACACCTGAAACTTGTGTAATGTTATTAAACAATACCATACCAGCACATGTAAATTTTTAAAAATAATTAAATAATACAAGAAAATAACAAGTCTTGCTACTTATTACAGGTAGGTGGGAAATACCCAATTGTAAAGACAAAAACCTCATGAAATACATCCCTAATATAGCTTCTTGGTTCTATAAATGACTTATGTAATTAAAATAAATTCATTTAATTTAGTTATAAATAAATGAATCTTATCAGATTAGGAGCTGAATTTATTATTCGTTAAGGTTGTTTTTTACTTTATAGTGTGTTTACTTTAAAATATTACACAATTTCATTTTCCATACATTCAACTGGAAATTATCCCTCACTCAAGTGAATTTTGTTTTACTCTACAGCTCTTCCCAGAATGGCAGTGGGTTTTACTTTCACTGAATTGGTTTTTGCAACTTTCCTCAACCATAGGGACAAAAATAAAGGAAGAAAAATTTTCAGCTAGGAGGCTAAGGCATAGATAACACATTATTACATTTTGTGACTATCATTGGAAGGGGAAAATATGTTTTAGAAGTTTTTATTTGCACAACTAAGTTGAAAATACATAAATAATACTTACTGTGTTGGTCTGGTGCACTTCAAGGGGCTCCAGAAAGTCTAGCTGCCTGTAGGACACTGCTTACTTGTGCATTCAGAGATCTTCACTCTTCAGCTTGAGAAGAACATGTACTGTCTTTGGCATTACCTCCAGTAGCACCATCAGGTTTTGTGTGACTACCGAAAGAATCTGAAGGCACATCAGAAAAACTCATTTGGCGTTCAGATCAATGAATGCATTACAAGAATTGCAGTGTTCTGGTAAATGCAGTCTACTGGTATATGGTGTATATAGAAAGTTTGTGGGCAGCCCTGACTCAAAAGGGCTTGCACATCCCTGTCTGTGATAACAGACAAAGTCGCCCAGCAGTCCCTGCCTTCACCTCTCTTCAGTTTGTGTAGTCTGCTTGCAGGAGCTCTTCTAAAAAGAAAGCTTTTGAAGCATTTTCAGGTCTGTGCTCTAGATGTTATCACATTCAGAACAAATGGGGTGTGGCAGCTTAGTACTGCCTCACTGCTTGAATTACATGCAATTAGCAAGACCAGGATTTAAAAAAATGAATAACATAAAAAAGTCCCCCGTGCCCCACATCAGTGCCATGGGGTACATAACCTCATGAGAAACATAAACTCTCTGTCGGTCTGCTGAGATCGTCGCTGCCGGCTTTAGAAAGGTAGAAGTCTATTTGCAGGTGGGGTAGGTAGATCCGTGTGTGTGGAAGTGGATGTGACTCAAAGATGTGGACAGAAGTCCACCATGCTTCTCCTTGACCCGGAGTGGATTAATTCTCACAGGGGCCATTTGTTAAAGTCATATTTCAAAGTAGTTTCAAGCCAGTCGATTTCAGCTTCATAGTTCTTTGTAGTCATTCTTTCATTCATTTTTTTAACGTAGCCAATTGAATATTATTGGCTCTTTTGCTTATAAGAAACCAAATGTTTCTGTCTATTGCTAAGAATTCTGTGAAACGGTAGAGACCATCAGTCATATTTCTGAGTAGTTCAGATAAGTGAGTTTTATGTATTTAAGAATTATTCTATTCACCAAGTATATATTCTGAGGCAAAATAACATTTGTAGTACCTCTTAATAGGAGTTGGAAAAGTATTAAAAATCTAATAGAGGGAATTTAATGATATAAGCAGAAATTTAGGAAATAATGACTTTCTGGACTAGTATTTATTCATAGGATGCTTCCTTTTGGAAGACCCAATTCTTTTACCTTTAAAATAAATAGAAGATTCTCTGCTGGTAAGAGAAGTAAAGGTTAGTCTCTGGGAACTTGGACTTCTCCCAAAAACTGGTTCTCAGCCCTGACTGCCCACCGGAATTATCTAAGGAGCCTTAAAAAGTACTGACGCCTACTTCCACTCCCAGAGATTCTGATGTAATTGTTCTGAGATTTGGCCTGGGTTTTGGGGGGGTTTAAAAATCCCCAGTCTTATACTGTTCTTAAAGGATTGCAGTGTGCAGTCAGTGTTGAGAACCCCGGTGAAGAGTGAGAGCAGTCATCTGTGCTTGTTACACTTGAAGGTGGCGCAAGATGGGGAAGTGGCCTGCCCCCCCTGGGAACGGCCAGAAGTCTCCTGGCCTCTGCTCTGCGAGGGAGGTTCCAGGGAACATGGGCCTGTGTGCACAGCACAGAGCAGGCAGCCCCCCACTTAGTACACACTCAGGCCACCCCGGTTACATTTGTCTAATCAAGTCTGTTCCTTGCTTAACCAGTGTGATTGTGTAATTCTCATAAAGCCCTTGAAAATGATGGTATTAATAGCACCTAAATCAGTGTTACTTCAAGTGTGATCTATGATCACACTACTTTAAATGTTGTCTTTGCCTCTTGTAATTTTCCCTGTGTTTCCTAGCCAGATTTATTCTTTTATTAATTTTATTTTTTTAAGATTTATTTATTTTCACAGAGAGGGGAAGGGAAGGAGGAAGGGAGGAAGAAAGAGAGAGAAACATCCCTTGGTTGCCCCTTGCACACCCGCAGCCCCCAGCCAGGGACCTGGCCTGCAACCGAGGCATGTGTCCTGACCAGGAATTCAACCAGTGACCTTTCAGTTCGCAGGCCAGCACTGAAAACACTGAGCCATACCAGCCAGGGTTCTTTTTTTTTTTAATTAAACATTTTTTTATCCTCATCCAAGAATATGTTCATTGACCTTAGAAAGGAAAGCAGAGCCCTGGCTGCTGTGGCTCGGTGGACTGAGTGCCGGCCTGTAAACCAAAGGGTTGCCGGTTTGATTCCCAGTCAGGGCACATGCCTGGGTTGCAGGCCAGGTCCCCAGTGAGGGGTGTGGAAGAGGAAAGGAGAGAAAGAGAGGGAAACATCAACGTGAGAAACATCTATCAGTTGCTTCCTGTGTGCCCCCAGCAGGGATTGACCCTGCAATCTAGGCAGGTGTTGTGACCCAGAATTGAACCCGCCACCTTCTGGTGCACTGGACAGTGCTGCAACCAACCAAGCCATGTGGTCAGGGCTAGCCAAATTACAACTTCATCACCCTGAGACTGGTACACAAAGTGTGTGTTTTATTACAGTTGGTTGTAGGGGGGTTGCATGTTTTCGGGTTGCTTTGATGAGTTTTACGTAGGGTGTGAGATGACTTGACATTAAAGTCACTCTGACTGCTGTGATCTCTAGAAGAAATTGGTGTTCCGCCAAACTGTTGTCTAGCCCTTCTTTCCTCACCTTTCAGCTTTTGCTCCTGCTGTTTCCTCTCTTTGGACCATCTTAGAAAGGGGTGCTCAGATTTTATGTAGTGGTCATCATTGGGCCTGAAGGCTGTAGGGTGCAGAAATACAATTTGTAGAAGCTCAGCTGGCTTCCCAGCTTTTCTTGTGACTCACTGCCTTGGGAAACCTGTGGGTAGGGCTCAGGTGCACCTGGCTGCAAGTCAGGTCCTGGCACGTCTGAGCGCACAGCGAGCTGAAGGGCCAGGTCAGAGCTTCAAGAGGCAACCAGCACCACATCAGGGAGTCCCTCCCTACTGGCTACTCTCATTTTCTGAGGACATAGTTTCCCCTTGAGATTTTTGAGAACAGAGCCTTTATCCTCTACTTCTATGTTTCCAGACTTTGAGCAGCAGACGTTTTATCTGCAGGCAATATGAAATCTAATTCCAGCCTTCTCATTATCAAGAGCTGTTGACAGAGTTACTTTAATCTCCTCCTTTCCTGTGTTCCTGATACAAGTATTGGTTAATAATAGGAATCTCCATTATTAAGGTAGACTTGCTCTGCCTTTTGCTGAGATATAATTCACATGTAACCTTTTTAAAGTGTACAGGTTAGTAGTTAGTGTATTCATAGTTTTGAAAGCATCACCACTATCTAATTCCAAAACATTTTCATCACCCAAAAAGAGGAAACTCGACACCCTCCAGCAGTCGCTCCCCTTTTCTCCTACTCCCCAGTCCTCAGAAACCCCCATTTTACTTCCTGTCTCTGTGGATGCACCTATTCTGGGCATTTCACGTCAATGGAATTCTATAATACGTGGCCTTTTGTTTCTGGTGCAGCCTTGCTTTGAATGGCGTTGCACAAATAAGAATCATTCTGAGGGCCTCTCAGGAGTGTGTGCGGGGGGGCCCCCCCTTCATTCACAAAGTCTGTCCCTTGAGACCCGAGGCAGCCCCCCAGGGCCACTCCAGCAGGGGTGCTGGTCTTCTCGCTGCTGCTCTGGGCAAATGGAATTAGGAGGAAAAACCTAGTGACTTTATTGTCTATTTTTATTTTTGTTCTGCAGAGAAAGGAAAGGAGGGCAGTGCTCTTTTTTGTCCTACTCAGCAACCTTTTTGTTTAAAATTCTGTAAAAGCCTATTAATTTTCTTTTTATCATATATATTATATCTATATCTATATTTATATCTATATCTATATATATATATATAGATTTTTTTTTTAAGGATAAGGCTGCCACTTCCCTGGGTCTGTCAGAGTTGGGCCATAGGGATCAAACGTGTGGTCCAACTCTGAGTTTCCGAATGATCAGGGACACACAGGGAGAATGTGTTCTTCAGGGCCACACATGGGCCAGATTTGGTCTGGAACCATCGCTGGCTACACAGGCATATGGAAGCCCATTTAGACATATTTTAGTACCAAAGTCAAAAGATTAAATACATGTCAAGTCCACTGTTTTGGTGTGTATATGTAATCTAACGTTTTGTCCCGCCTTTGAAATCTCACGCCCACTTCAGTGGTGTGTCATTTTCTCTTCTGTGTGTCTTTACCAGCCCATTTCAGCCTTTTGCCATCAGTAGTAAGAGTATAAGAGCAAGTAGCTCTTTGTATGATTGCTGGACACCTGTGCAGCTCTGTATTCAATAGCCACTTGTGGATCCCTTCGTAAGTGCTTTACAATTATAGCTCATTTCATTCTCATGACAACCCTGTGACTAAGTTGTATGGTTTCCTGTTTTACAGATGAGGAAACAGAAAGAAGTTCCTTTGATTAAGGTCTGACAACTAGTAGATGGCGAAAATGGCATTTAAACCCAGGGAGTCTGGCTCCAGAGTCCACGTGTTTAACTTTTACGTTGCACTGCTCCCCAGGGGCCCTGAGTATCACGGAGATGAGCCATAACCTTATGTAGAGATGCGAACTGAGCTGGTGGTCATTTTGACGCTGTCAATGCATTCCTTTCATGCAGTGTATTTTTATTAAAAAAACTGTCAAAGTAACTGCAAGAGTTGTAATAACAAGCTCAAGTAAAAGCTCTAGCATCTGCTTAGCTAATGATGCACTGCAGAGAAAGTGAGGAAGTACAGGTGAGAAATAGTTGTAATGTACTTATGTAAGATTTGCAGTGGCAGACTCCTACACAGAGGCTCATTGCCAGAGGAGAGTTGGAGAAAGTCGCCTGTGACTGGCAGTCCCGGACCACTTCCTGTCTCACAGAAACAGGTCGTCAGAAGCAGAGCTAGGCACCGCTAACAGTGCTGGGGGGTGTGCGTTTATGGTTCTCTTCATGGCCTCATCAGTAAGGGGTGTGTTTGTTTTCTTGTGTTCTTTTGAGAACTTACAATTATCTTTTTCTTTTTTCTTTTTTACTCATGAGAACTTGGGAGCAGATACATTTTCTACTAAGCTGCTTGTGTTCTATGACACTAGCTTTTCTCTCTGCGTCTGTGTTCTGTGTTACAGTGCGTATGAGCACTACGGTGCCTGCCCACACTTGGCCATCTTTGGGGAGCGTGAAGGAAATGCAAACAGTCTGGCCAGCTATGCCCTTGGATCAAAACTGTAATTGGCATTCTGTGAATTTGGCCTTAAGCAACACTG